AATTGGCACTACTTTGACCGAGCTTATGCCATTAGATTCACTGACGATTTGCCACTACACTCACCGTCCACTTGCCATTAGACTAACCGACCATTTGCCATTAGATTCGCTGACCATTTGCCATTAGATTCGCTGACCATTTGCCATTAGATTCACTGTCGATTTGCCACTAGATTGACCGACCATTTGCCATTAGACTAACTGATCATTTGCCATTAGATTCGCTGACCATTTGCCATTAGATTCACTGTTGATTTGCCATAAGATTCACTGACGATTTGCCACTAGACTGACCATCCATTTGCCATTAGATTCACTGACGATTTGCCACTAGACTGGCCGACCATTTGCCATTAGATTCACTGATGATTTGCCGTTAGATTCACTGATGATTTGCCACTACACTGACCAATCATTTGCAATTAGATTCACTGACGATTTGCCACTAGACTGACCGACCATTTGCCATTAGATTAACTGACCATTTGCCATTAGATTCGCTGACCATTTGCCATTAGATTCACTGACCATTTGCCATTAGATTCACTGACCATTTGCCATTAGACTGACCATTTGCCATTAGATTCGCTGACGATTTGCCACTATACTGACCCACCATTTGCTATTAGGCTACGAAACAATTTGCCATTAGATACGCTGACCATTTGCCATTAGATTCATCGACCATTTGCCAATAGATTAGCTGACCATTTGCCATTAGATTCGCACTGACGATATGCCACTAGACTGACTGACCATTTGCCATTAGATTCACTGGCCATTTGCCATTAGATTCGCTGACCATTTGCCATTAGGTGCCACTGGACTGACCGACCATTTGTCATTACATTAACTGACCATTTGCCATTAGATTCGCTGACCATTTGCCATTAGATTCACTGACGATTTGCCATTAGGCTGACCCACCATTTGCCATTAGACTGACCATTTGCCATTAGATTCGCTGACGATTTGCCACTATACTGACCCACCATTTGCTATTAGGCTACGAAACAATTTGCCATTAGATACGCTGACCATTTGCCATTAGATTCATCGACCATTTGCCAATAGATTCGCTGACCATTTGCCATTAGATTCGCACTGACGATATGCCACTAGACTGACTGACCATTTGCCATTAGATTCACTGGCCATTTGCCATTAGATTCGCTGACCATTTGCCATTAGGTGCCACTGGACTGACCGACCATTTGTCATTAGATTCACTGACGATTTGCCACTAGACTAACTGTCCATTTGCCAGTAGATTCACTGTTGATTTACCATAAGATTCACTGACGATTTGCCACTAGACTGACCAACCATTTGCCATTAGATTCACTGACGATTTGCCACTAGACTAACTGTCCATTTGCCAGTAGATTCACTGTTGATTTACCATAAGATTCACTGACGATTTGCCATTAGACTAACCTACCATTTGCCATTAGATTCGCTGACCAATTGGCAATACTTTCGCTGACTATTTGCCATTAGATCCACTGACGATTTGCCACTAGACTTACCGACCATTTGCCATTAGACTAAATGACCATTTGCCATTAGATTTGCCGACCATTTGCCATTAGATTCGCTGACCATTTGCTATTATATTCGCTAACCATTTGCCACTAGACTGCACGGCAATTTGCCATTAGACTAACTGACTATTTGCCATTAGATTTGCTGACCATTTGCCATTAGACTAACTGACGATTTGCCATTAGATTCGCTGACTAATTGCCATTAGACGAACTGACCATTTGCCATTAGATTCGCTGACCATTTGCCGTTAGATTCACTGACGATTTACCACTAGACTGACCGAACATTTGCCATTAGACTAACTGACCATTTGCCATTAGATTCACTGTTGATTTGCCATAAGATTCACTGACGATTTGCCACTAGACTGACCAACCATTTGCCATTAGATTCACTGACGATTTGCCACTAGACTGGCCGACCATTTGCCATTTGATTCATTTATGATTTGCCGTTAGATTCACTGACCATTTGCCATTTGATTCACTGTTGATTTGCCATCAGATTCACTGACGATTTGCCACTAGACTGGCCGACCATTTGCCATTAGGCTGACCCACCATTTGCCATTAGACTGACCATTTGCCATTAGATTCGCTGACCATTTGCCATTAGATTCGCTGACCATATGCCATTAGATTCACTGACGATTTGCCACTAGATCGACCGACCATTTGCCATTACATTCGCTGACCATTTGCCATTAGATTCGCTGATCATTTGCCATTTGATTCGCTGACCAATTGGCACTACTTTGACCGAGTATATGCCATTAGATTCACTGAAGATTTGTCACTACACTGACCTTCCACTTGCCATTAGACTAACTGACCATTTGCCATTAGATTCGCTGACCATTTGCAATTACATTCGCTGACCAATTGGCAATACTTTGACCGAGCATATGCCACTAGATTCACTGACGATTTGCCACTACACTGACCGACCACTTGCCATTAGACTAACTGACCATTTGCCATTAGATTCGCTGACCATTTGCCATTAGATTCACTGACGATTTGCAACTAGACTGACCCACCATTTGCCATTAGACTAACTGACCATTTGCAATTAGATTCGCTGACCTTTTGCCATTTGATTCACTGTTGATTTGCCATCAGATTCACTGCCGATTTGCCACTAGACTGGCCGACCATTTGCCATTTGATTCACTGATGATTTGCCGTTAGATTCACTGACCATTTGCCACTAGACTGACCAACCATTTGCAATTAGATTCACTGACGATTTGCCACTAGACTGACCAACCATTTGCCATTAGATTCGCTGACCAATTGGTACTACTTTGACCGAGCATATGCCATTAGATTCACTGACGATTTGCCACTACACTGACCGTCCACTTGCCATTAGACTAACTGACCATTTGCCATTAGATTCGCTGACCATTTGCCATTAGATTCGCTGACCATTTGCCGTTAGATTCACTGACGATTTACCACTAGACTGACCGACCATTTGCCATTAGACTAACTGACCATTTGCCATTAGATTCACTGTTGATTTGCCATCAGATTCACTGACGATTTGCCACTAGACTGACCAACCATTTGCCATTAGATTCACTGACGATTTGCCACTAGACTGGCCGACCATTTGCCATTTGATTCACTGATGATTTGCCGTTAGATTCACTGACCATTTGCCATTAGACTAACTGACCATTTGCCATTAGATTCACTGACGATTTGCCACTGGACTGGCCGACCATTTGCCATTTGATTCACTGATGATTTGCCGTTAGATTCACTGACCATTTGCCACTAGACTGGCCGACCATTTGCCAATAGGCTGACCCACCATTTGCCATTAGGCTGACCATTTGCCATTAGATTCGCTGACCATTTGCCATTAGATTCGCTGACCAATTGGCACTACTTTGACCGAGCATATGCCATTAGATTCACTGAAGATTTTTCACTACACTGACCGTCCACTTGCCATTAGACTAACTGACCATTTGCCATTAGATTCGCTGACCATTTGCAATTACATTCGCTGACCAATTGGCATTACTTTGACCGAGCATATGCCATTAGATTCACTGACGATTTTGCAACTAGACTGACCGACCATTTGCCATTAGACTAACTGACCATTTGCCATTAGATTCGCTGACCATTTGCCATTAGATTCGCTGACCATTTGCCGTTAGATTCACTGACGATTTACCACTAGACTTACCGACCATTTGCCATTAGACTAACTGACCATTTGCAATTAGATTCGCTGACCATTTGCCATTTGATTCACTGTTGATTTGCCATAAGATTCACTGACGATTTGCCACTAGACAGGCCGACCATTTGTTTGCCACTGACGATTTGCCACTAGACAGGCCGACCATTTGTTTGCCACTGACGATTTGCCACTAGACTGACCGACCATTTGCCATTAGATTAACTGACGATTTGGCACTAGACTGACCGACCATTTGCCATTAGATTCACTGACGATTTGCCACTAGACTGACCGACCATTTGCCATTAGATTCGCTGACCATTTGCCATTAGATTCGCTGACCATTTGCCGTTAGATTCACTGACGATTTACCACTAGACTGACCGAACATTTGCCATTAGATTCACTGATGATTTGCCATTAGGCTGACCCACCATTTGCCATTACACTGACCATTTGCCATTAGATTCGCTGACCAATTGGCTACTTTGACCGAGCATATACCTTTAGATTCACTGACGATTTGACAGTAGACTTACCAGCCATTTGCCATTAGATTCACTGACGATTTGCCACTAGACTGACCGACCATTTGCCATTAGACTAACTGACCATTTGCAATTAGATTCGCTGACCATTTGCCATTTGATTCACTGTTGATTTGCCATCAGATTCACTGACGATTTGCCACTAGACAGGCCGACCATTTGCCATTAGACTAATTGACCATTTGCCATTAGATTCGCTAACCATTTGCCATTCACTGACGATTTGCCACTAGACTGACCAAACATTTGCCATTAGATTCACTGACGATTTGCAACTAGACTGACCGACCATTTGCCATTAGACTAACTGACCATTTGCAATTAGATTCGCTGACCATTTGCCATTTGATTCACTGTTGATTTGCCATCAGATTCACTGACGATTTGCCACTAGACAGGCCGACCATTTGCCACTGACGATTTGCCACTAGGCTGACCGACCATTTGCCATTAGATTCACTGACAGGAAAACCGAGAAGGTTATCCATCATGACCGCCTCAAGCTGTGTGAGGATCGCGAGTTTCCGCTGTGGCTCAAGAGATGCAGGAACCAAATCCTTAGCAAAGTTGAAGATGAGCCGCCACATTCCTCGGAAAGCGAGAACGTGCTGATCTCTGATCTGTTTACTGTTGACCCCGAACTCGAATCCAATGCCGGGCAATCTCATCCCGAGAAGAATCTCGCAGTTGGGTATTCTCAGGATGGGCAGTTCTCTCAACAAGAACAGTCCCCAAAAACTTGCCTCCAGGAAGAAGAAGCCCAGAGTTCAACAGGTATCAAGCCCCCAGGTAGGCAGAGGAGACAACCTAAGTACCTGGAAGACTACCACCTGGATGCCGGATGGGATCCATGAGGGAACGACGGATATGTTCCTCTTCAAGAAAGTAAACGGGAGGGAGTGTGGTGAAGTGGATCTCCTTGTCGTGTGCCTGTAGTATGCAGTAATTCGCTAGGGCGAGTTGTCTTGTCAAATCAGAATGCCCTGGGCGACTCGGCCACCGACTAACCTTTGTTGGTCAGTCTACAGCTTGTCGCGTCAGTGAGCACACGGGTTTTCACAGCTCCGTTCACTGCCGTGTTGTAGACCTTGCGATAGCCTGCATTCGTTAATGTTTGCCTATTCTACAATAGTAGCAAAATTGATTTAATGATTTGAATCAGTCTATAAATCTCGATTTATAAAAAGTATTATAGCAATGAAATGGCCAATTGCCAGTTGCCATTATCCACATGTGGGTGTTATAATAAAAATATAACTATTATAGCTAATAATAAATTTATATAAAGATTTAAGTCAAATTAATAAGATTTTTTTCTAATTTTAAAAAGCATAATTGAATCAGTCTATAAATCTCGATTTAAGTCGATTAATAAGATTTTATTGTACTTTTCAAAAGCATATGGTCCCAAAACATACCTTTTTCTACGCTTTAGAGGGACGGTCCGACCAGCTAGAGCCCTGGAAGAAAATGACAAAGATAAGGATTATAGCTATAGTAGCAAAATTGATTAAATGATTTGAATCAGTCTATAAATCTCGATTTAAATCAAATTAAAAAGATTTTTATTCTAATTTTAACAAGAGTTCCACGAGGGGGTACATAATACACCCGTCATGATTTGCTATATATTCCTTATTGACACTGCCCCTCCTGCCCCTCAGCCCCTAGGAGGCCGAGACCCACCATTTATACAACACTGATTCCCCTGCAACCAAGAATGCTTCAGACCAAATTTGGGTGAAATCCATCCATTTATACGGGAGGAGTAGGAATTTAAAGAACTTGCATAATTTCCCATTTTGGGCCCCACCCCTCAGGCCCCTGGGGGCCGAGAGCCACCATTTATACAACATTTGTTCCCCATCCCTCAAACATCCTTCTGATCAAATTTCAGCAAAATCCAATCATTCCTAACGGAGGAGTAGGATTTTAAAGGATTTGCTATATATTCCTTATTGACACTGCCCCTCCCGTCCCTCAGCCCCTAGGGGGCCAAGACCCAACATTTATACAACATTTATTCCCCTGCACCCAAGAATGCTTCACACCAAATTTGGGTGAAATCCAATCATTCCTACGGGAGGAGTAGGAATTTAAAATTTCCCCTTTTGGGCCCCGCCCCTCAGGCCCCTGGGGGCCAAGACCCACCATTTATGCACCATTTGTGCCCCTTCCCCCAAGGAAGTTTCTGACCAAATTTGATCAAAATCTGATGAGTCGTTCATGACTAGTAGCGATTGAAAGGGAAAAAAGTTGACGGACAGACAGACGGACGGACGGACGGACGCCGCGGTATCCCATAAGCTCACTTGGCCCTTCGGGCCAGGTGAGCTAAAAAATGCCGTTACTACAAGTTTAAAATGGCAAATGGTCACAATGCTGTTACTACAAGTTTCACTGACCATTTGCCATTAGAGCATTTGCTATTAGACATAGTGACCATTTGCCGTTAGACTCGCTGACCATTTGCATTTAAACTTGTTTACTTACATCTCTTGCATATAAGCTCTCTTATAGGCAGCTGCCCTCTTCGATGGCAACAGGAGTTTTTCAGGAAAGGGCTTGATCTCTGAATTGACCAGGTTTATCTTCTCCGACAGCCCATCACCCAAACATTGTTGAATTTGGGTTGTGTGTCGCCCTCGGTGGACGATCTGAAAAAAAGTATTGTAGAGCTTTGGTAATTGAAGAAATACAGGTTGGCGTAGTATTCCCGTGCAGGTGGTAAAATTATATAGGAAATTGTTTATTTACAAGTACGAAATATTATTTATAAAATATAATATTATATAAACAAGAGGCCCAAGGGGCCTTAAGGTGCTCACCTGGTACATGGTGTCATACAAAGAAACACTAGAGATCCCATGGGACGACGTAGTCAAATTTTGCACACACAATCAATTTATATTCACAAAGGGATATTTTCCACAAATTTGGTTGAAATCAGACAAAGCTGTTTTTTGACCTAATTTTAGCACCAGCTAGTGGGGGCCGTTTCGTGAACATTTTCGGACCAATAAAGTGCCGTTGACCTTTGACCTTACACCAAATGACGTCAAAATTTTTACACAAAAAAATACGTCAATTCGAACTAGACAGGGGGGACAACTCATGAAATAAGAGATAAGAAACAGTACATGGGTAGCAGTGTACAGATCCCTACGGTGGCCATGGGTGATTTTTGTACAGTAAATAACCCCTGTAATATTACATGTATAAAAATTTAAAAATAAAATCAGCCCTAAAATTGGTATATACATGATGAAGAGGACTATGTGGGCTTCATAATTTTTTGACAAAAAAAATTTGCATAGGGTTCGAAAGTACGGCTTTGGCCATTTTCATCTGGGTGTCTACGCAACAAATGCTAGCTTTACAGGAAGTGCATTTTTGTACTCAGCACGTGTGTAAATATTGTGGAAAATCCATCTGAATGACCTATGTTGACATGTGAGTATTTCTGTTACTGGATAAGTGATAATTATTTTTAAATAGGTTTCAGAAGAAAAAATTCTGTCTGCGAGGGTCAAATTTTGGGTCAGAAAATGTGTTTTTTTGCAATTTTTGGCATTTTTTGAAGTGGTAACCATGGTATTCAGAGGTCCAAAATCCGAGGAAAACATTTTTTCAAAAAGTAATCTTTCTTCTAAAATAAATTCATTTATAATGTAGTTTTAAAAAATATATACATATGTAGGTGTATTGAGCAAGGCTAATCGGCCATCTTTGAGTATCTCAGACCTGCCTTTATTTTCAGGTTCACACCATTGTTAATTGTACTCTGCTACCATGACATAGATATAAAAGTTTAGTTGTAGACAGGGGGGACAACTCATGAAATAAGAGATAAGAAACAGTACATGACATAGATATAAAAGTTTAGTTGTAGACAGGGGGGACAACTCATGAAATAAGAGATAAGAAACAGTACATGACATAGATATAAAAGTTTAGTTGTAGACAGGGGGGACAACTCATGAAATAAGAGATAAGAAACAGTACATGACATAGATATAAAAGTTTAGTTGTAGACAGGGGGGACAACTCATGAAATAAGAGATAAGAAACAGTACATGACATAGATATATAATGTAAGTTTAGGTGTAGACAGGGGGGACAACTCATGAAATAAGAGATAAGAAACAGTACATGACATAGATATATAATGTAAGTTTAGGTGTAGACAGGGGGGACAACTCATGAATGAGTCACTCTGAAGTGATGAAATGTGAGGTCAGCGGAAGTACCAATACATACTCAAAATTTACTACCGGTACATGTATTTTCAGGGGTTTATGTTTTTCACTTTTTCACACTTTTGCTTGCCAACACGTCATATACTGAAATGTTGTGTATGCTTTTCTTAAAGTTTCCTAAAATTTCTTAAGATGGGTATTAAAAGTACATGCGCTATAATCAAAGATTAACACAAATTTGTCTTACTGTCTCATATTTTTTGAATAAAACTTTGTTAATTAGTTATTAGTTATAATTAGTTATATTTGGGAAGATTTGGGTAGATTTAGGTGGATTTCTTTGTAGCATCTCATTTCACTCAGATTGCATCTCATTTCTTAGAATCATTTGGTTTATACTTCTTTCAGGTGAATTAGTATAGATTTGTGAGAATATTGGAAAGATTGGGTAGATTTGGATAATTTGAGAAGTTTTATTTATACTATAATTAGGGCTTTTCACCAACTGGTGAAAAGACCTATTGTTTTTGTTATGTTTCTTATTATTCTTCTTCTTCTTCTTCTTCTTATTATTATTATTATTATTCTTCCCAAATTTGTGGCGTCCTAATTTTTTAAACTGGAAAAGATAGGTATATAACCTATATACCATGTTATAGGTACATATCTGAAGGTGTGCATGCAGATTTTTTAAGTAGGTCAAAAATCCAATATGGCCGCCATGACGTCATAAGTGAAAAACCTTAAAACAGCCATATCTCAATAACCGTTTATAGTACAGAGATGACAATTTAATTCTTAAGTAGAGAATGGCCATATCTAACTTTTTCTCATGACATGTTATGACGAAATATGTCTAATAAAAAAGCTCGCCATTGGGTCATTTTTCCGGAATTTAAGAAAAAAATAAAATTTTTCATTGTTCAATTTTTATAAAAATACTTTGTATGGATCGATGCAGAATGCAAATCTGACCAAAAAGATGTCTTCAGTTTTTCTGTAACACTTACCGTTTTCGTTGTACGCCATTTTGAAAATTTCCTTTGATCTTTTCAAAATGCCGACAATTTCGTAAAATTCGTTCTACAAGAAAATCCAAAAGTTTTCTTCTATGAAAATGACATGGAAATGATGTCCCCAGATACATGCTATCATTTGGTGGTGTTTTTAATTTCATTGGAAAAAACAAAATGGCCGCCATGACGTCATTTCCGATTTTAGACCTAACGTCAATATCTCCATAATGACCAAGCGTATTGAATTCATCTTTGGATATGTTATGTAGAATAAAAAATAAATAACATCTGACATGACATAATTTGTGTAATATGTGTACTTTCGGTTTTCGTTAGGGGTCAAAGTTGAAAAAGGCCATTTTAGGGTACCCAACTTTAAAAAACTTCTTCTCAAGTTCCAGAAGGCCTAGAGCTTTGATATTACACAGGTAAGTTTCTAAGATGACTGGTATTCAGATTTGATAATATAAATGACCTTGACCTACATTCAAGGTCACAGGGGTCAAATGTGTAAAAAAATAAAAATACGTATTTTCCAATAACCATAACTCACAAGGAGCTGTAATTTGGCCTGTAGTATACTGTCATAAATGTCTCTTGAATGCAATTTTGAAAAACCTGTGTAAATAGTCAACTTCCGGTTTTCGGTAGGGGTCAAAGGTGAAAAGTGCTATTTAGAGTGACATCCTTTTAGAAACTTCCTCTCAAGTTCCAGAAGGCCTAGAGGCTTGATATTTCGCATGTAACCTCCTGGCATGACTGGTAATCAAGTTTGTTAATATAAATGACCTTGACCTACATTCAAGGTCACAGGGGTCAAACATGTCAAAAATTGAAAATACGTATTTCTCAATGATCCAAACTGACCAGGAGGTGAAATTTGGCCTGTAGTATACTGTTGTCAATGTCTTTTGAATGTAATAAAAAAAAACGTGTAAAAAGTCAACTTCCGGTTTTCGGTAGGGGACAAATTTGAAAAGTGCTATTTAGAGTAACATGCTTTGAAAAACTTCTTCTCAAGTTCCAGAAGGCCTAGAGGCTTGGTATTTCACAAGTAAGTTCCTGGGATGACTGGTAATCAACTTTGATAATATAAATGACCTTGACCTACATTCAAGGTCACAGGGGTCAAATATGTAAAAAAGAATGAAAATATGTATTTCTCAATGATCAAAAGTGACAAGGAGGTGAAATTGGCCTGTTGTATACGATTTTAAATGTCTTTTGAATGTAATGAGAAAAACCTGTGTAAACAGTCAACTTCCGGTTTTCCGTAAGGGTAAAAGTTAAAAAGTGCTATTTAGTGTAACATGGATTTGAGAAACTTCTTCTCGAGTTACAGAAGGATTAGAAGATTGATATTTCACAATTAAGATCCTACAATGACTGGTTATCAAGTTTGATAATATAAATGACCTTGGACCACTTTCAAGGTCAAAGGGATAAATAATGTTTAAACTGTTAAGCTGACAATGCTTAAAGTTCTGCAACACCTAGAGGCTTGATATTTCACATAGAAGATGTTCAGGTCAATGGTTACCAACTTAGGTCATAGGGGTCAATTATGTAAAAAAATTGGTAAAATGGCAATTTCCAACATGTGAAGTGGCACAAAGTCATCAGATTTGAACAAAACCATTCTGTAGACATTTCTGTTGATTGCTATTGCGTTTCTTACCAAAACCAAGATGGCCAATGTAGGTGAAAAGCCCGTCAAATTGTCCATGACAATTTCTAGTTATTTATTTATAATTCTTGGGAAAAAATAGGCTAATTAAATTAGTTGTAGATGAATTATCGATTTGGGAAGATTTGGGTAGATTTGGGTGGATGTCTCTTACTACCGGGGTATTTCATTTCTTAGTCATTGACTACTGACAGTAGCACTTGGTTAAATCAAGCTTAATTTAGGTGAAGTGTATAATTTAGTGTATTTGAGTGTATTTGAGTATATTTATAATGCTTATTAGGTCGAAAACTCATGACACGAGGATACGTATTCCTTTCTTACGAAATATACGAAATATTCGCAATTTTGTGTCCGCCCAGCTAAAAAAATCGGATGTAGTGGCAAAGAATTAAATTTTTTTGCACGCTACAATTGCCAAAAGATTTCTTACGAAATAAAAAATTAAATATGAAATATTCGGATATAGTGGCAAAGAATTACATTTTTGCACGCTACAATTGCCAAAAGAAGTCTTACCACCGAAGGCCAGAGACACGCATTCACTTTCGTAACAGCAATTTCCATCTTGTTTTTTTCCGTTGGGAGTCGTCTTGGCGCCAATAGTATTGTCTTTCTCGTAGCGTCACCTAGCGGGGGAGGCGGCGGTTAACTGTATTACAAGGGAGACCGGTAGGAGAGTTCTGTCATGGCCAAACGAAAACTTCCAGTGACAGTCGATGTAGACAATTCACCCCAACCAGAAATGTTGGATGTACTGGTAAGGCTCCAATCAATTATCCCCCTCTCTTATTAGAAGCATTTCTGATGATTGAAATACTTTCTAATGTCGTTTTAAAATTTATGCATCAACTGTAAGACCGCCATTTGCATTTTCAATGGCAAACCACAGCACAGGTGCTCGGGTTATATAATATAGCTAACTTAAGTTTAGCACCCCCACTATACTAATAAATCAATATTTTTGAAGAGATCTGAAGTGCAGGAAAGTTCCTGATAGCCCAAGATAAGTACGAAATCGATTATGAAATAGAGCGTGCAGGCTGCCTCCTATAAAAAACAAGATGGCGGCTTTCATACCTTCTTGATTTATTAGTATAGTGTGGGTGCTAAACTTGTTAGCTATATTATATAACCCGAGCACCTGTGAACCACAGGGGTTTGTCTATAATAATAGTAAATCAATAACATTGATTTGAGGGAGTTATTCACCCTTTTGCACCAAATTCCTATCAAATTCATGGTGTCTGACTGTTAACTTTTGAATGCCTTCAGGGATTCAATTCATATTTGGTACACAGCTATATATTCCTGATATACAGGTCAACTTCGATTTTGGTTACTTCCACCTATTCTTGGCGCAATTATGCCCCCTTTTAACCAAATTCCTATAGAATTCATGGTTTCCAACTGATAACTTTTGAACACCTACATGGCTCAATTCATGAGGAATGTTGCTTTCGAAAATCCGCTTCATCATTTTACCATGTGTTTACTAGATACAGTAATACAGTAGGACCTCATTATAACCCTTTTATTGGGAGCCATCTTATTGGCCCATGTTATTAGTAAGGTCGCGTTATATCGAGGTTTTATATACATAAATATGTTTAAATGATTAGAAATGGGAGCCATACAACAACTGCAGTATATTCAAACCCGTATTACATTGACGTGTGTTATATCAAGGTCATACTGCACCCTTGCCAGTCAGTATTGTTCTTAAGCGGAGGCATCTTCAGTGATTGCCCGCAATCACAAAATCTCTAGTTTCTTTATCTTATGCATTCATATTTACTAACTAATATATATCTGTTTTCAGCAATGTCGATTCCCAGCATGCACAATAAAAGCCCAGAAGCTAGGCATTTCTGAGTGGCATTGGAGATCGGTGATTCCTGTTTGCATCAAAGAAGCCGAGAGTGTATATGATATAACAGACTGGCTGGGTCTGCACAGTCACAGTCAAATGAGCAGTGCTGAACATGTTCCTGATCAAATAAAACAGACTATTACTAGCATGATGAAGCCTCTTGAATCCTTGTACTTTGAAAAAAAAACATCATCATGGAACTACAAGACAGATTTTACCGGTAAGTGTTTTATGGTGATTCTATATTATCTGTCTACCCTTACATTTCTCTGGTGTACACCTCATAACATGGTGTATATATGGTGTTACTCCAACAATGTTAGAGGTTTTACACGGCGAGACACTTTTGATAGGCGCCGTGTAACCTCTAACTTCCCATAGGCGATTTACCCGATGCTGACAGGCCAATAATCAAAGTTCCGATTATAGCATTATTTATCAATTTTACTTACATTTAAATAACCAGCGATGTCGTGTTAATACCTCTCTTTGAAAAATCCATTATAAAATCCAAGTTGATAAGAGAAAACAGCATAAAATAATGATTTTAACATCTCCGTGGATAAGCTGATACAACATTAGAACCGAAAGTATAAATACCACGTGACTGCTCGGTAAATACAAAAATGGAATACACAATGCAAAAAAAAAGCTATCCCGTTTGTGATATATTTAGCAAACTATTCCGCTTGATACTCTATTCCGCATTTTGTACCGACCGCGGCAGCCATTTTCGAAAGATAGGTCAACGAAGCGGCTTAATGTTGTAGGAGTGTGTTTCGAAGCATATTATTATTAATATGGTGTTAATTCATGGTTTGGACGTTCATATGGGATAATTAATACCTAAACTGTAAGTACACATTGTTGTCATCAAGTATTAAGTCATAAATAGACATAAAATTGAATCTTACGTTCCGCCCTGATTTGAGGGCGGAACGAGCATCAAAGAAATAGTGCTTGGGAAATAAGAGGCCGCAGTCGACACAATAACGTCAGATGATAAATCGGCCGACCAGCGGCCTCTTATGTGATAGTAGTAATATGGTGTATGTGAGGTGTACACCAGAAGTAACCTACAGATATGTAAATGAGCCTGCTACACCACAAGTATACCATAGCAAAAACATGTACACCAGAGATACACCATATGGACTTCTGAAATTTATTCCTATTGGGTACACCACAGATACACCAGTGGGTGTTTGATTCAAGTTGAGATTACAGGGTACACCAGAAATACACAACAGGGAGTTCTTAAAGTTTTCTTTTTAATTACACCAGAGATACACCAATAAATGTTTGTCTATTATATCAGATCAAACGGTACACCACAGTCACACCAGAAGTAATCTGATCTATAGAAATATCACATGGTCAACTGTAGATGGCACTTTTAACATAACTTCCTGTCTTTGTTCTTTGTTCTTAAAATATTTGAAAGTCACCATGATAATTTGTAAGGAGAAATACCTTCAAATGTGAGTGTTCAAACATATTTCTACTAAATTTCACTTATGCATGCACAGTTTATTATCCCCCGCCACAACGCAGTGCGGGGATATGGTATTGCCGTGCGTCCGTCCGTCCGTCCGTGCGTCCGTCCGTCCGTCCGTGCGTCCGTCCGCCTTATTAGCACTCTAGCAAGTTTATTTCTCATCTGATCCGAATAAAATTTATACAGTAGCTTTTAAAATAATTAGCTCAATGATATCTCAAATAAGATCGATGATGAATTCTGACCGAATATTTTTGTGAGAGTTATGCCCCTTTTTATCCCCTCGCGACGAAGTCGGAGAGGGGATATAGGGATCTGCCCGTACGTAAGTACGTACATATTTGTCCGGACCATAACTCCTAAACCGTTCATGATTCGTTCATCAAACTTCATATACATGGTAAACGCATCAAGGCAGAGTGCAGTGCGCAAGAACCGTTACTCTCGCATCCCTTTGTAAAAACATTCATTTTTCCCTTGTCCGGAGCATAACTCCTACACCGTTCATGATTATTTCATCAAACTTCATATACATGGTAAATGCATCAAGGCGGAGTGCAGTGCACAAGAACCGTAACTCCCGTGTCTCTTTTTTTACAGAGTTATTCCCCTTTGTAATATTTGTCCGCACCATAACTCCTAAACCGTTCATGATTAATTCATCAAACTTCATATACATGGTAAAAGCATCAAGGTGGAGTGCAGTGCACAAGAACTGTAACTCCTGTGTCTCTTTTTACAGAGTTATTCCCCTTTGTAATATTTGTCCGGACCATAACTCCCACACCGTTCATGATTATTTCATCAAACTTCATATAAATGGTAAATGCATCAAGGCAGAGTGCAGTGCACAAGAACCGTAACTCTCGTGTCTCTTTTTACAGAGTTATTCCCCTTTGTAATATTTGTCCGGACCATAACTCCAAAACTGTTCTTGATTAATTCATCAAACTTCATATACATGGTAAATGCATCAAGGCGGAGTGCAGTGCGCAAGAACCGTTACTCTCGCATCCCATTTTACAGAGTTATTCCCCTTTGTAAAAACATTCATTTTTCCCTTGTCCGGAGCATAACTCTCAAACAGTTATGATAAATACACATGGTAAATGCATCAAGGCGGAATGCAGTGCACAAGAACCGTAACTCTCGTGTCTCTTTTTAAAGAGTTTTCTCTTTTCTAATAACACTCATTTATTTATTCCGCTTTCCCTTTGTTAAAAAATTCATTCACACGCAGTGTGTACAAGTTGGTATATTGGTTACAACACTGCATATGATTTGGACATTATGGTGGAGTGCAGTGTACAAGATTAGGTTTGTAACCTGTTTTTTAATTATTATAGAAACCACTGACATGGCTCAATTTCATTTTCATTCAAAAACATAACCTCTGTTAATTTACTGAAGAACTGCTGTGATGACATTTGCAACAGGGAGATCACTCAACGTGTTGTCTGAGTGCTAAGTAAAATATTACTTTTATTTCAATCATCATAGATTCAGGCATTTTATGTATTCGTTCTTTTATTATTATGATATTTTATAGTCATTGTGTTAATTGTTGTAACCTTAATCAGTGTTTTTGTACACTAGAATAATAATACTAATTTATCCTTTACAGCATAGAAGTGGATATTTGTAATGAAAAAAAGTTGTAGGGCATCATCAGAACTTCTCAGTGGATTTCATTTAGTGGGGCGCGAGGGGATTTGTATCGCTTGCGATGCCTTGTTAACTTAGAAATTTGACGAAATATCCTTGTTAGCACTCGAGCAAATTTATTTATCATCCGATTAGGATAAAATTTATACAGTAGCTTTAGCTCAATGATATCTCATGATAGTTTGAAGATGAGTTCTGAACGAATATTTTTGTGCGAGTTATGCCCCTTTTCAACTTAGAAAATTGACGAAATATCCTTGTTAGCGCTCTAAATTTGAAAAAAAAAGTTGAATTCAAAATATGTATAGGAATATTGCCTTTGAAAACTCAAACAATAGCAGAAAAAAAATTGGGGCGGCGGGGGATATCGGAACGCTGTTCTCTTTATTTATACACATCAGACTTGGAACTTTACAGCAATATATCTATATTAAAGCAAGTTAAAAGGCTATTTGTATTCTTATTCTGCCTCCATTTTCAATTTTAATTGTTGAAATTCAAATATTGTCAACTGAGTTGCCACTACACTACAGAAATGTGAGGGTACTGCCTAATATACAGCAACCAAATTAAACATCTGTTGATTCTTTGTTCTTTCTATTCTTTTCAGATGTATTATCCATAGACCAACAAACAATTACACAAGGCTTTATCTCGGATATGTCCAACTCCCGGGGCAGATCAATGATACATGGTCTCCTTGCACAACTATTCAGCTCAGACACCTCAGTCAAAGCGGTGAATATTGGTGGTACCGCAACTGTCAACGAGCCATCAGTTAGGGAATTAGCCTTTGAAGTTACATTTGAGGACAGTGATTCCGACTCGTCACCAATGCAATCTCCTGCCAAGCAAAGTGAATCTGCGGCGACAAGACATTCACCTCGCAATTATAAAGCTCCTTTAAAGGACATTGATTGTATTACTAATCAAGTCTTCAAGTTCGTACCAGACATAGTTCTTGAAAGCACATCCAGAGAACACTTGCTTATTGAAATAAAAAAAGGGAGGTTGTTATATCCGCAATCGATATCTCAATTGAGATATATGCTAATGCCAGCAGCAATCAAGCAAGGCTCAGCTGTGGGTGTCTTGATATGCACGAATCAGGCACTTCTAGAGAGATGCATCGTAGCTGAAGACAAAGTGAGGTTTGAGAGAAAATACTTCGAGTTGAGGGAACATTCTCTTGTGGCGGACATGGAAATGCTCTTTTCAAGTATCTACAACGAAGTCTTGACAACGGTGTAAAAGTGAACATTAAAATCAATATTATTTCACAAAATATGTTATATATGAGTCATTATCAGAAATTGTCAGTATTCAGATATGAAAAAAATGAAAAATTTACATTCATGAACAGTAAACGTCATTGAATCAAACTTAAGTACAAATATCATTATTCAATTATTTCAATACTGGGGGGGGGTATACTCCTCAGTTATTTCACCGATTTTATTCAAACTTGGTCAAATGATATAAAACATACACTAAAGCAATTCATTAACAGTTGAAATCCCTATGAGGTTTTCTTAGATTGAACTTCGACACTACATCTGACCTCTTCTAATTCTTTTTGCCAGAATTGCTTTTTCTAGGTTCGAATTCCTGAGCCTCAACCACCTAAGAACTTATTCGGCATGTCGCAATATTGCTCTTCCAGGGGATAACAGTGTTCTGTTACAGTGCACAATAAATTAATGCCTATTTGCTTGTGATATGCTGGAAATAAGAAGAATGATGATGTAAAGCAATTAAAGGAAGTAATAATCTTATTAAAGTCATGGAAATAGACGCACAGATAACAACGTGTAATAGGTTATGGGACTATTAGAAATAAGAAAGTAGGCATGAATACTATTGCTGTTGTCTATATCAATATATCCAGACAAATCAGTAACAAGTTTATTAGGTTTAAAGCAACAAATGTCAGAACATAAATTGCAACAACATGAATTTTTTTTTTAAAAAGTTTAATAACTGAAGACAAATAGCAACAGGTTTGCATAAAATTGATCTTCGTTTTTTTCTAAGAACATTGATTACAATCAAAGAATAAAATAATTTTTGTAAATGACTTTACGACATTGATGCCATGGTTTTCACATCATCAGTTATCACAGTCTGCACTTTGTCCGACATGTCCGTCCTTGGATAAAAGAGCTCCCGGTGAAACCTTTTTTACAGTAACATTTTGTTAATCTGACTTTCAATTACTGTCCTCGTTCAAACCACTTTCTTCAGAACTAAGATCATGCTTGGTGTGTTGTTTATCGGCAAAAGTACTCTCGTACTCATCAACTGTCTTTGGAACTAAGATGGGCTGGTCAGACATACGAATATTTCCAATGAACTGAGATGGTGTTGATGAGTCTCTTTCACCATCTTGGCCTTCCTTGAAGATATCCCGTGAGAGAGTTTCCTGGAACAGTGTGAATTGGTCTTCTCGGACACTAGCCTCCTTCCCTTGTGAGACATTTCTGTCTGCTGGTAATTACCTAGTCCCTGTCCACTGTTGGAATGAAAACTAGAGCCACTACTGTTGCTACTTTGTGTTGGTTTGATGCCCGAGACATAATAAAATAATATATGCTATTGTTCCCATTGACAATTTTACAATTACATGAGATGGCTCTATCTAAAATTGTTCATTATACCCCCCCGCAACGAAGTTGGGGGGGGGGGGGGGTATACTCCTCAGTTATTTCACCGATTTTATTCAAACTTGGTCAAATGATGTTAATATATCAAGCAAATAATTTCACACATTAGGTACTTTCCAGACTGTTACTATGGCAACGCAGTCCTGGCTTCTGATTGGTCAAAATTCAGATACTGTCCGATTTCATTATATAAACCAGTTAATACTTCCTTTTTTTGTTTTTATACGCCCGTCGAATGACGGCGTATTATGGTGTACCCTTGGTGTATTTTTTCAACGTTAAGTTTTTGCGTTTAGCTCTGGTTTATATGCAAAAAGCTCGAGCTGCTATGAATGACCAGGAGGATGAGGAGCATCGCCTAACTCGCCTTTTAAAGGCAGCCATAAGGAGGCCCCTCCCAGGGGGCAAGGGTAAACACAGAGAAGGGAGCGGCTTCCAGTGTGTTAGCGATGAGCAAATCAGCTGGCCGGGCCTTCTTAGGAAGTATTATAGGACTAAGAAGCAGCATGGAATGTTCCTCAGATGTTGCCACGAATCATTCGGCAGTGCGACATACGCAAGGCAACATATTACATGGCATATGCAAAAAGGATATATAGGAAAACATATGCGCTTGATTGACTCGAGAAAAAACAATAAATAAAATAATATATGCTATTGTTCCCATTGACAATTTTACAATTACATGAGATGGCTCTATCTAAAATTGTTCATTATACCCCCCGCAACGAAGTTGGAGGGGGGGGGGTATACTCCTCAGTTATTTCACCGATTTTATTCAAACTTGGTCAAATGATGTTAATATATCAAGCCAATAATTTCACACATTAGGTGCTTTCCAGACTGTTACTATGGCAACGCAGTCCTGGCTTCTGATTGGTCAAAATTCAGATACTGTCCGATTTCATTATATAAACCAGTTAATACTTCCTTTTTTGTTTTTATACGCCCGTCGAATGACGGCGTATTATGGTGTACCCTTGGTGTATTTTTTCAACGTTAAGTTTTTGCGTTTAGCTCTTGTTTATATGCAAAAAGCTCGAGCTGCTATGAATGACCAGGAGGATGAGGAGCATCGCCTAACTCGCCTTTTAAAGGCAGCCATAAGGAGGCCCCTCCCAGGGGGCAAGGGTAAACACAGAGAAGGGAGCGGCTTCCAGTGTGTTAGCGATGAGCAAATCAGCTGGCCGGGCCTTCTTAGGAAGTATTATAGGACTAAGAAGCAGCATGGAATGTTCCTCAGATGTTGCCACGAATCATTCGGCAGTGCGACATACGCAAGGCAACATATTACATGGCATATGCAAAAAGGATATATAGGAAAACATATGCGCTTGATTGACTCGAGAAAAAACAATAAATAAAATAATATATGCTATTGTTCCCATTGACAATTTTACAATTACATGAGATGGCTCTATCTAAACTTGTTCATTATACCCCCCGCAACGAAGTTGAGGGGGGGGGGGGGGGTATACTCCTCAGTTATTTCACCGATTTTATTCAAACTTGGTCAAATGATGTTAATATATCAAGCAAATAATTTCACACATTAGGTGCTTTCCAGACTGTTACTATGGCAACGCAGTCCTGGCTTCTGATTGGTCAAAATTCAGATACTGTCCGATTTCATTATATAAACCAGTTAATACTTCCTTTTTTTGTTTTTATACGCCCGTCGAATGACGGCGTATTATGGTGTACCCTTGGTGTATTTTTTCAACGTTAAGTTTTTGCGTTTAGCTCTGGTTTATATGCAAAAAGCTCGAGCTGCTATGAATGACCAGGAGGATGAGGAGCTCGCCTAACTCGCCTTTTAAAGGCAGCCATAAGGAGGCCCCTCCCAGGGGGCAAGGGTAAACACAGAGAAGGGAGCGGCTTCCAGTGTGTTAGCGATGAGCAAATCAGCTGGCCGGGCCTTCTTAGGAAGTATTATAGGACTAAGAAGCAGCATGGAATGTTCCTCAGATGTTGCCACGAATCATTCGGCAGTGCGACATACGCAAGGCAACATATTACATGGCATATGCAAAAAGGATATATAGGAAAACATATGCGCTTGATTGACTCGAGAAAAAACAATAAATAAAATAATATATGCTATTGTTCCCATTGACAATTTTACAATTACATGAGATGGCTCTATCTAAAATTGTTCATTATACCCCCGCAACGAAGTTGGGGGGGGGGGGTATACTCCTCAGTTATTTCACCGATTTTATTCAAACTTGGTCAAATGATGTTAATATATCAAGCCAATAATTTCACACATTAGGTGCTTTCCAGACTGTTACTATGGCAACGCAGTCCTGGCTTCTGATTGGTCAAAATTCAGATACTGTCCGATTTCATTATATAAACCAGTTAATACTTCCTTTTTTTGTTTTTATACGCCCGTCGAATGACGGCGTATTATGGTATACCCTTGGTGTATTTTTTCAACGTTAAGTTTTTGCGTTTAGCTCTGGTTTATATGCAAAAAGCTCGAGCTGCTATGAATGACCAGGAGGATGAGGAGCGTCGCCTAACTCGCCTTTTAAAGGCAGCCATAAGGAGGCCCCTCCCAGGGGGCAAGGGTAAACACAGAGAAGGGAGCGGCTTCCAGTGTGTTAGCGATGAGCAAATCAGCTGGCCGGGCCTTCTTAGGAAGTATTATAGGACTAAGAAGCAGCATGGAATGTTCCTCAGATGTTGCCACGAATCATTCGGCAGTGCGACATACGCAAGGCAACATATTACATGGCATTTGCAAAAAGGATATATAGGAAAACATATGCGCTTGATTGACTCGAGAAAAAACAATAAAATAATATATGCTATTGTTCCCATTGACAATTTTACAATTACATGAGATGGCTCTATCTAAAATTGTTCATTATACCCCCGCAACGAAGTTGGGGGGGGGGGGGGGGGGGTATACTCCTCAGTTATTTCACCGATTTTATTCAAACTTGGTCAAATGATGTTAATATATAAAGCCAATAATTTCACACATTAGGTGCTTTCCAGACTGTTACTATGGCAACGCAGTCCTGGCTTCTGATTGGTCAAAATTCAGATACTGTCCGATTTCATTATATAAACCAGTTAATACTTCCTTTTTTGTTTTTATACGCCCGTCGAATGACGGCGTATTATGGTATACCCTTGGTGTATTTTTTCAACGTTAAGTTTTTGCGTTTAGCTCTGGTTTATATGCAAAAAGCTCGAGCTGCTATGAATGACCAGGAGGATGAGGAGCATCGCCTAACTCGCCTTTTAAAGGCAGCCATAAGGAGGCCCCTCCCAGGGGGCAAGGGTAAACACAGAGAAGGGAGCGGCTTCCAGTGTGTTAGCGATGAGCAAATCAGCTGGCCGGGCCTTCTTAGGAAGTATTATAGGACTAAGAAGCAGCATGGAATGTTCCTCAGATGTTGCCACGAATCATTCGGCAGTGCGACATACGCAAGGCAACATATTACATGGCATATGCAAAAAGGATATATAGGAAAACATATGCGCTTGATTGACTCGAGAAAAAACAATAAATAAAATAATATATGCTATTGTTCCCATTGACAATTTTACAATTACATGAGATGGCTCTATCT